AAAGAAGAAAACAGGGAGAAGATAGACGGGGTGAAGAAGAAGGAGGTGAGGTAGAGAGAAGGAAGGAGAAGGGTGGCGACGAAGGAGAAGACGGCCGCCATAGCCGGAGCTGACCGGAGGAGTTGACCGGGCGTTGACCGAAGTTGACCAGGGGTTGACTGCAGCGTTGACCAAGGCATTGACCAAGACCGTTGACCACAACTTTGACCAAGCTGGAGCCGGTATAATCTCGCCAAGCCTTCAGCCTATCCCCTCGCCCTATGGATGTGCACACACCTTGTGGTACTTGCCGAGTCAAGTTTGTTTGTCTCTTCTTTCTGCGTTGAGTCTCTTATGTCCAGGTGATAGGACTCTGTGGATGAAGGATAGGACCTTGTTGACCAAACCCACACGGGCTGAGTAGGGCTAAAGACTGTGTCTGACGACTCGACTGTCCCGGAGGACACGATCCCTCCCAAGGACCGGTACTGACCGGCGGGCTGCTCGGTGTGGCACGGTAGGCCCAAAATCCGAGTTGTGGGCTGCACAACAGGCCGTCTAAGTCTTGAGAGGACCTGCTGATCGCGTCGTCCTGTCTGCGACGTTAAATAATTCCTGAGGAGTTACGAGGGATCTCCTTAAATGCCTCATGATCAGCAACAGGTCCTGTAGTGACAGCCTTAGAGTAGGTCTAGGCTAGAGACCCTAGTTGACAGGATCCTGTCCGGATTCTGGAAGTCCTTAGATCGAGTCAGTAGGTTTGTCAGTCAGGGGGAAGAGTCTAAGTGGTGAGGAGTGGAACCGTTGTCTGGTTGTGCACCTATCACCATGGTTGACACTCATAGTGGGAAGAGTACTGCCCCCTACACCCAAGCTCAAGAGGAGCGTGCAACCGCCATCCTGAAGGAGAGACAGGAGATGAAGGAGAAGAAAGAGCTCCTTAAGCAGGCGAAGTTAAAAGCTATCGCAGAGGAGCAAGCGGCGAAGAAGAAGAAGTTGGAGGAAGAGATGAGGAGATTAGAACAGGAAGAGGAAGAGAAGAGGAAGGCTGTCGAAGAAGAAGCAGCAGCAGAGGAGGAGGTAGAAGAAGAACCCCTTGAAAGGAGGCGTGGGGGAGATAGAGGAGAGACAAGTGGCATGAAGGGAGAGGACGCGTGGATGGAGAAGAAAATTAGCAAGTGGGTAGCTAACTTATCATTGGGAAAAGACGAAGAGGCACTGTTGTATGTGCCGTAGGAGGAGAGGGAAGCATTTGCCAGGGGATTGGAAGCGATGGAGGACCCCCTGGAACGACAGAAAGCAGAGGATGAAAAGAAGTTGGAGTGGAAGCTACGTATGATGAGGGAGAAGAAAAGAAGGAGGGAGGAAGCCAAGCGGATGGCTAGAGAGGTGGAGAGAGTCCGGGCATGCAGACAAGAGGTGCAGGCACAAGCAGAGACCCCCGCAAAGTTGGACAAGATTCTGGGGTATCTTGAGGTCCTAAGCGAGGCCTGGCTTGAGGAGCATCAGGCCAACAAGGGTCAAGATGTGACCCTTCATGCCATCCGGTCCGGTTTTAGAGAGTTTGCGCGCGGCGTGGTAACCCACGTTGGGACTGAGGTCAAAAAGCTAAAGGAAGGCGCAAAGAAGTTTTGCGCAGGCACCATTGAAGGCGCCAAAGTAGTGGCTACAACAGAGGCCGCGTCGCGTCCCCGCAAGGAGCCTGTAAAGCTCAAATTCCCTGATTCGTATAGCGGGAAAAATGACGATAGTTTTGATAATTGGGAGGCTAGCATTAACACATATGTGTATTTGCAGCATATCGCCCCCGAGGAACAAGTCCTCGTCGCCTTCCATGCACTAAAGGATGAATCGGCCAGCTTCGCCAGTTCCCTTGCACGCACCGCTGATTGCGAGCACAACATGATTGCGTACTCTAGGCTTACCCCCCTCTCCACTTTCCTCCAACTCCTGCGTGAGAGGTTCGCTGACATCACAAGAGGCGTCAGGGCCTCTGACAAGCTCCAAACTATCCACTCGCGACAGTGGAGGAGTGCGCGAGCAGTCAAAGATGTCATGGACGACTTGGTAGCCGTCCTAGACCACGGGGTCACTGAGACCCAGTTGGTCCAACTGTTTTATCGTGCCATGCCAGAGCCCTTGCGAGGGCATTTCTTTGACAAGACCCAACAGGCCAACATCACGTATAATGCGTTGAGTAGAGAAGTGGTCCTGTTCGAGGCCAAGTCCATGTCAGTTTCCACTTTCTGGCGTAAGGACTTAGATAAGGGTAAAAAGTGGAAGGGTCGTACCATCTTTGGCCAAGTCAGGGCCAAGGATCATTTGATCCTCACTTTAGACGAGGGTGGTACTAACGAAGTCCCCTACAGTCAGATCGAGTGGGGGCTTGAGGAGGAGGACAGTAGTATAGGCCAAGGGAGGACCTATGTTGCTGTCACGGCTAGAGGGAGGCCGCAAGGTAGAGGAGGAGGCCAGGGCCAAAGGGGCCAGGCCACGGGAGGTCGAGGACCGGGCGCACAGGGGGTTGGCGGTCAAGGGAACCGTCAAGTGGGGGTCAAGGTCCCCCGCCAAATCGTCCAGGTCCCAGTCGGTCCCCGCAGCGACGAGGTGGGGGATCACCTCAAAGGAGAGGAGGTTGGCACCCATGTTGGCCACAAGGCTTGCCTTGGGAAGATCTGGGCCTGGACCAGAGAGTTTGGCAACAACGTATGGACCAGGGGCAGTGCGTATATTGCGGTGACCCGACCCATATTATTAAATATTGTCCTAAATACAGACAGGCCCGATGGGCTGCCCACGAGTCAAAAGGCAGCCGCTGGTAGGGGTTGCAACAACCCTTACTACTAGGCCATGTGGGGAAGCGAGCGCGCGCGTACAGGAAACTCCCACACCACATGAGCCTTCGACAGAGGCTGCAGGCCCGTGCCTAGTTAGCTGTCGAGAGACTACTTGTGTCAGCGTCTCTCTAGGCACTTCCCTCACAGGCGTGGCAGAAGAGTTAAAGGAGAGGATGCCTGCCTGGGCCAAAATGAAGAAAGATAGTAAAGGACAACTAGTTTTAGTGGATGTCGAGGTCTTTAGAAGTAGAGTAGGGGCCCTTATAGATTCACGGGCTACTCGTAGTTATATTAGTCGTAGAGCGATGAAGAAGCTGAGGCTAGGGTTAAAAGTCCAAAAGTTGGAAGACCCCATAGTTAGTGTCCTCGCAGACAACCGCAATATGCGTGTTGAGGACTACGTAGAGGGAGTCCAGGCGTATTTTCGCCTAGAGAAAGATGTGAAGGTGGATAAAGTTCTCCATTCCCTGACTCTCCTCGTACAAGATGACCTTCCTTTGATATAGTCCTAGGCATGGACTGGGGAGAGGCAGCAGGGGGCACATTCCATTTGAGAGAGCATGAGTGTAGGCTCCCTGGTCCATCAGGCGAGGTTAAGACTGCCCGCCTGTTTCATGTGTCTGGAGTATAACTCCTTGCCACATTGCTGTCTCAGTGCTCCCGCGTTCGCGCGACTAGTAAGAAAGGAGCATCAGGTTTTCGTAGCTTATGGGAGGCATGTCACTGAGCCTAAGAAAGACACACCCATAGACCCACTTATGGCCAAGCTGCTGGAAGAGTTTAAGGATTTGACAGAGTCGCCGACAGGAGTAGTGTCGCGGCCAATCCAACATCGTATAGAGATAGAGCCTGACAGTAGGACTCCTAAGGGAGCAGTCTACAAGATGTCCCCAAGGGAGTTAGAGGAGCTGCGTAAGCAGTTAGACGAGCTCCTCGAAAAGGGTTGGATTAGGCCCAGTTCATCTCCTTTTGGAGCACCAGTGTTGTTTGTCCCCAAGAAGGAAGGAGAGTTACGAATGTGCATAGACTATAGGGGTCTAAATGCAATCACAGTGAAGAACGCTGAACCGCTGCCTAGGATAGATGATCTTTTAGATCGGCTGCAGGGTTGCAGGTTTTTCTGAAGATCGATTTGAAGTTCGGATATCATCAGATAGAGGTCCATCCTGATGACCAGTACAAGACAACATTCTGGACTAGATATGGGCACTACGAGTTCATAGTGATGCCCTGTGGACTAACCAATGTCCGTGCCACGTTCCAGCGCTATATGAACGATTTGTTTAGGCCATGGTTATTGGGTATTCGCAGTGTAATGAGAACTATCCGGTGTGTGATTGATGCTGAGGTGGAACAATGGTGCAATGCTGGTTGTGCCGAAGCAGCGATTGGTCATCACAATCAACATCAGGTCATCTGGTGAGAATATCTGTGGTTCGGGGCAGCTATTTTGAGGTACGTTGCACCTAACCTTATCTACCCTCTTCGACACTTCTTACCGTGAGGATGTGTGTTCTGTCTTGAGAGTCCTCTCATGTGAGGAGTCATGTGCGCTCAACCTTGGGAGTCATCAGTCTTCACGTGGAGCATCTGGAAGGAGAGGGCGGTGCTATCTGAACGGCCTTGGATGAAGCACTGGGTCATGGTAACCATGCCAACCCACCGGGAGTAGACCACGCATGCTTTGTTGCGTTGTCGTTTGTCTTCTCGTTGCGCTGTACAGAGGTTCTGAAGGGTAGGCCAGCCCTATGGGACAGACGAGACCGGGCGTCTATAAATAAGCACCGACGAGGTACCTTCCATTGGTTGTGATCGTCGTCCTGTTTGCGACGTTAAATAATTCCTGAGGACTTCGGGGGCCGTCCATAAAATCGTCTCCTGATCAACCAATCGGTCAGTGTAAGGCTCGCTGCACGCGAGGATAAAGACTGTGCAGGGCTGGCCAGCTCAGCAGGACTCGGGGCACAGGGGTGGGCCGTGTNCCAATCGGTCAGTGTAAGGCTCGCTGCACGCGAGGATAAAGACTGTGCAGGGCTGGCCAGCTCAGCAGGACTCGGGGCACAGGGGTGGGCCGTGTGCACACCTTTTGACACACACGCTGTCCGGAGTGCTAATGGACCTTGGCGACAAGAGACATTCACGAAGAACTGAGGGAGGGGTAGATTCCACGTGATAAGTTTGGGCAAGATTACACTCTGCAAACAGACCCAACAAATGATTCTATTTTTATTTTGATTAGTTAGATGTACATCCATTAACATCTGACAGACAACATAGTTTAGAACTGTTTTCTATTCATTATGCTTTTGTTTGCGAACTAGTCAAAGTCAAAGTAGTTTCGTTTGTAGGAACCTGAACTTGCCTGTTGGACCCAAATGTATATACTCTCTGACGCAGCCACCGATTAATTAGTTTGATTATTATAAATCGGTTTGTGCACTACGCTGTGGTAAGCATCAAAGAGTGACTTAGTGCAGATTGTGTACAGTTCTGTAGCTTATGAGCGATAGGGATACCACTAGTGAGGACGACCGGATCTTGCGATCGGCTACGCCCGATTGCCCATGTGGCATGAGGACCCAAGGCTGATAGGTTACTGTTCCGCCAGCTTAGGGAGAGGCAACAACAACAGCGGAGAGCTAGGGCAGCGGAGGCCAGCATGGCATTCGCAAGTGAAGCCGCTGCTTCAGCAGCCATGGCAACCGCTGTGCATTAGAGTTCCCAGGCCAGCAGTTCAAGGACTGTAGGGTCAACAGTCGCACAGACCTTGAGTCAGTCCATTGGCGTTATGGCAAGCCAGCCATTAGTGTTGACTTCCGATGAGATCGCCATACAACAGGCAACACTGCAGGAGGCACAACTACAAAAGGCCTTAGGAGAGATAAAGGCGGAGAAGGAAAGAATGATAAGAAGAAGAGCCAGGATGCAGCGGAGACAAGCGGACGTTAGTGAGTTAGAGGAGATGGACCTAACGAACATATATGATGATGTGAGGACCCTACGAACCGTCTTGCTATATGTAATAAAAATGCAGGACCTCCACACGACTCTCCTTCAGGACATCCAGCAGAGTCTAGCCTTGCTGGTCGGGCGAGCGCAGGCAGCACCATCGTTGTCCGGGCCCGGTGCCTGGCCCGTTGTACAACCTCCTCCTTATGTCCCACCGGTGATTGGGGTATCCCCATATGTTTCCCCAACATCGGTCCAAACTGTTTCCCTGGGTATGTCGTTAGCAGGAGGGTTCTCAGCAGGTCCTAGTGTACAGGTTCCTGTACAGACATTGTTCTCCCAACCTCCGTCGCAGGTTGCCGTAAGTGGGCAGCCTGCTATCTTGCAGTCTGCACAATCGCAGGGTACACAGCCCCAGCAACAGCTAGTGCAGCAGCCTGCACCACAGGGTCCACAGCCCGGAATGGTGCAGGTACCGGGACAAAGTCAGTGGGTTCCAAAGACGACCATCGCTGCTCCTAAGC